AAGCTGCAGCGCCTCGCACACGTCCAGCACATCTGTTCGGCACCCTTCCGATGTGTGATGTTATTGGATGGGGTGCGCCGGCTTACAGTCATCGGCCTGACCTAAGGAACGATAAATAAGGAACGAAGCCCCTTTTTAATCCCAAGGAATAACGCATAAGGAACGATAAATAACAAATAACGCACAAGGAACTGTAAATAACGCATGCAAGCCTGAGGAACGACCGAGCCCCTTTTGAAAAGTAAGTGTTCCTTATTCAAGCCGCTCACTGTATCTCGCCAATCGTATCCTCAAACTTGCACCACTCAATCGTCAACACTTGTGTGATCACTCAACGTCACGGTCGTCCTGCGCCCGTGTCGTCTCCGCTCGCTTGCGCGACACCCGCACGTGCCGACTGCAACCCCGTGCAGCATCCCGCTCCCGCCGCAGGGCAGCTGCTGTCTCTCCGTGCCCCGACATGTCAACGAGCCCCTTCCGGAATCGGGATGTGCACGAGCTGGAATGGAACTTCCAGAATTTCAGGGCCGTCCCAAGCTGACGCAGGGCCACCAACCGAACTGCATGGGGTCCTCTTCCGGAGAGCGTTGCATACGGGATGTTCTCCTAGAATCTTCGCGGCAACAGTTTTTCCCCCCTCCGCAAAACATCTGACCACCTCAGCTTCAATGCCTGTAATACACGTCAGAGACAACAGTTTCAGGCATTCGTGACAACAGTTTGCAACAGCCTGAAGAATGGAAGGCGGCCATGTGTTCAAACTGTGACTCTCGCATTCGCGCCGCGCGCACTCGTTTAAAACGTTCTCTCCCATGTTCCGCCTCCTCTTCCTCCTTTTCTTTCTGACTCCTCCCCCCCCGTAGGGCCCAGACTCGTGAGGATCACTAACGGGCATGGGGTGAGGACGAGGTGGCGGCCAACGAACGCGATAGTGAGGTGGAGCATCGCCAGGTGTTCCGCACTAAGCACCTCAACATCCGCCATCCCACGTATGAGACCACGCAGTCGGTATCCCCGCTCGCCGAAAAACACTACAAGTTGGCTGGTGCAGAGAGTCACCAGGTGCCCTGCATCCGAGACAACCCTCCTACTCCTCAACCTCCTCCTCCTCCTGCTCCTCCGCCTCCTGCTCCTCCTCCTCCTCCTCCTCCTCCTCCTCCTCCTCCTCCTCCTCGTTCGCATTATCATGATCCCCCCCTCCAGTATCTGCGGATGCCTCTTCCAACCCTGCCAGGGCTGCCGGCCTGCCAGTGCCGCGCGCAGACAGAGCGCTGCGGACGCCGTGGGCGCTGCAGAGCCCAAATCGGCACAAGTTCGAACGATGCCAACACAAACTCTCTTACACACACACACACACACATACACACACAATTCCTCGTTCCTCCTCCATGCCCATCTCCTCCATTCCCTTTTCCTTATATGTATGTGTGTATGTATATATATGTATATATATTTATAAATATCTATGTATATATATAATTTGTCCCTGTCGCACCCGAGGCAAGTTTTTAGGGCGGGCCGGGCGTTTCGCCTGAGATTTCCTCACCATGTATGGCACTGGAGCCCAAACAGTTGGGAACAGGTTCGCACATGGAGGGCGGGTGGTTTTCAAAACGTGGCTCTCGCATTAGCGCCGCGCACAGAAAATTACACGAGCTTCACGGATGGAGGCCGGGTCGTTTTCAAAATGTGGCTCTCGCCTTAGCGCCGCGCACATTCGTTTTAAACATTTGCAAGAGCTTCACGGATTGAGGACGGGTGGTTTTCAAAATGTGGCTCCCGCCTTAGCGCCACGCACATTCTGTTCAAAAAAAGCTTGCAAGAGTGTCACGGATGGAGGGCGGGTGGTTTTCAAAACGTGGTTCTCGCCGCACATTCGTTTTAATGATTTAAAAAGGCTTGACAGACGGAGGGCGGGTCGTTTTCAAAATGTAGCTCTCGCCTTAGCGCTGCGCACGTTCGTTTTCAACATTTGCAAGAATGTCACAGATGGAGGGCGAATGGTTTTCAAAACGTGGCTCTCGCCTTAGCGCCGCGCACATTCGTTGTACCTAGTTGGAGGGCAGGTTGCTTTCAAAACGTGGCTCTCGGCCCAGCGCCGCGCATTCGTTTTTACCTAACAGCTTTTGCTGATAGGTTTCTAGTGGTATCAAAAGATAGCATCTTGACGCCCCAGGGGGGTCTGGGCGGGATCCAGACAGCTCCGGACAGGGATCCGGACAGACCCGGACAAAAGGGTCAGCCCCAGGAATCTTTAGGAATCCTTAAGAATTCTTAGGAATCCGTAGGGATCCATTCCCAGAACACCATTCCCAGGCCACATTCTGAATGCCCGGAACCAACTGTAGGCCACTTCGTTTGCTTCGTGTTCCCAGAACACCATTCCCAGGCCAGATTTTGAAATGCCCGGAACCAGCTGTAGGCCATTTCGTGTTCTTCGTGTTCCCAGAACACCATTCCCAGGCCAAATTGTGAATGCCCGGAACCAGCTGTAGGCCATTTCGTGTTCTTCGTGTTCCCAGAACACCGTTCCCAGGCCACATTTTGAATGCCCGGAACCAACTGTTGGCCACTTCGTGTTCTTCGTGCTCCCGGAACACCATCCTGTACCATATTTTGATTGCCCAGAGCCAACTGTGGGCCACTTCGTGATCTTCGTGTTCCCGGAACACCATTCCTATACCATATTTTGAATGCCCGAGCTGAGGTAGGCTGAAGCCGAGGCAGGCTGAGGCCGAGGCAGGCTGAGGCTGAGGCTGATGCACGCCGAGGCAGGCTGAGGCTGAGGCTGAGGCAGGCTGAGGCTGAGGCAGGCTGAGGCCGAGGCAGACTGAAGTTGAGGCCGAGGCAGGCTGGGGCTGAGGCAGGCTGAGACTGAGGATGAAGCAGGCTGAGGCTGAGGCTGAGGCCGATGCAGGCTGAGGCTGAGAGGCTGACGCTGAGGCTGAGGCAGGCTGAGGCTGAGGCTGAGGCCGAGGCAGGCTGAGGCTGAGGCTGAGGCTGAGGCTGAGGCTGAGGCTGAAGGTGAGGCAAGCTGAGGCTGAGGCTGAGGCTGGCAACGGCTGAGGCTGAGGCTGAGGCTGATGCAGGCTGCCGGCAGGCTGAGGCTGAGGCTGAGGCTGAGGCGGCTGAGGCCGAGGCAGGCTGAGGCTGAGGCCGAGGCAGGCCGAGGCAGGCTGAGGGCGAGGCTGAGGCTGATGCTGAGACAGGCTGAGGCCGAGGCAGGCTGAGGCTGAGGCTGATGCAGGCTGAGGCTGAGGCAGGCTGAGGCTGAAGCCGAAGCAGGCTCAGGAGGCTGAGGCAGGCTGAGGCTGAGGCAGGCTGAGACTGAGACCGAGGCAGGCTGAGGCTGAGGCTGGGGCTGAGGCAGGCTGAGGCTGAGAGGCTGACGCTGAGGCTGAGGCAGGCTGAGGCTGAGGCTGAGGCTGAGGCCGAGGCTGAGGCTGAGGCTGAGGCAAGGCCGAGGCAGGCGAGGCTGAGGCTGAAGTGAGGCAGGCTGAGGCTGAGGCTGAGGCAGTGGCTGAGGCTGAGGCAAGCTGCGGCTGAGGCAGGCCTGAGGCTGAGGTGAGGCTGATGAGGCAGGCTGAGGCTGAGGCAGGCTGAGGCTGAGGCTGAGGCCTGGGCTGAATGCAGGCTGAGGTGAGAGGCTGACGCTGAGCGGAGAAGGCTGAGGCTGAGGCTGAAGCCAGAGCAGGCTGAGGCTGAGAGGTGGACGCTGAGGCTGAGGCAGGCTGAGGCTGAGGCTGAGGCTGAGGCAGGCTGAGGCTGAGGCTGAGGCTGTGGCTGAGGCTGAGGCAAGGCTGCGGCTGAGGCAGGCTGAGGCTGAGGCTGATGCAGGCTGAGGCTGAGGCTGAGGAAGGCTGAGGCTGAGGCTGAGGCCGAGGCAGGCTGAGGCTGAGGCCGAGGCAAGCCGAGGCAGGCTGAGGCTGAGGCTGAGGCTGATGCTGAGGCAGGCTGAGGCTGAGACAGGCTGAGGCTGAGGCTGAGGCAGGCTGAGGCTGAGGCAGGGTGGGGCCCTTGGCAGGCGAATCCTTCGGAATCCCTCGGATTCCCTCGGAATCTGTAGGAATACGCAGGAATCCCTAGGAATCAAGATTCCTAAGGATTCCTAAGGTTTCCGAAGGATTCCCATGGATTCCTAAGGATGCCTAAGGATGCCTGAGGAATCCCTAGGAATCCTTAGGATTCCATCAGATCCTAAGGTCGTTGCCACTGCGACTGTCATTGCGAATGCGACTACGACTGCGAGAACAGCAGAATTCGACAACTGGATTATCACCTGAATCTTAAGGGGAATGCTTCCAGATATGCTTATACACATCGCTGTTAGGCTGCTTTGCCGGGATAATTAAAAGTTGCAAGAGTTCCACGGGATCCCATGGTCAACGTACCAGAAATATTTTGCAAGGATTCAAGAATATGAGGGCGCCACAGTTGCGTTGATTCGCGGTGCTGATGTTCCAAGAACGGCGTTCTGGCGCGATTCAGGATCGTCAAGACGCAACAGTCAGGTTGATCCGTGGCGTTGGACTCCCGAGAACAATGTGTTGGCCGGCTTCAGGGTCTTCAAACGATTGTCTTCCAACGAGGCAGTTCCTTCAGTGGAGATGAGCCGTTGTAGGGGCCTGTGAAGAGGGAGCTTGGAGGGAGGGTCTATTCCAACATCGTTGATGGCTCTTGGGTTTACACAGGTCCTCCTCCTTCTCCTCCTCCTCCCCCTCTTGTGTTCGGGAGGGGAGGTGCAGTGCTGCGGCCCCTGGGGTGCTCGTCACCACCCCAGGATGTAAGAATGGCACCCCCTCTTCTCATCCGATTCCCCCATCCTCCCCTCACTCATTTCCCCTCGCGCGCCCCTTCCTGACCTTCCCCTCCTCCCGTTGTGGGCAATCAACCTCCTCTACCCTGCCAGAGACGTTCCCGCGTGCCGGCAGTCGCCTGACTGCGGCGAGTGGGTGGTAGAGGTCGAAGTAGACGCCCGTATCCTTCAAGCGCTCCAGATC